CTGTGGGCGTGGCTTGGTGAGCATGGCAGGGGAAGGATACTGTAAAATCTCCATTCCCTCCCCACTCCAGGGAAAGGTTACTGCAAAATCCTCATATCTTCCTGATCAGCTGGGACTCGGGAGGCAGAAAACAGATGGGGTCGGGACCAGTCAGAAGTAGTATTTCCCAGTTCTCCGAACTACTCAAAATTTCTGCTACCGGTTCTCTAGAACTGGTCAAAACCTGCTGAATATCACCTCTGACACACATACATGTTTAGTTCCTATCAGTTTTGTGAACAGCAGTGTAACTATAGCTTTTCATTGCTTTCTTCAATTATAGCTCTGATTTTCACAGGATATCTTTCACCCAAGAAGTTAACCATGCCTGACTCTGCTTAGCTTCCAAGAAGACTTTGTTACAGACTCACTAGCAATTGGGCTAATCTAATAATATTTCTGAGGAATAAAAGGGGAGGCAGTAATTTTGCAAAGCTGAGCTACCTAAATGGCTTCTGACTGTTGAAGAGACACTGTTGAAGGAGTCCTTCTGAATAATTTATTTGATCTCCAGAAAACATCCGGCTTCTTATTTGAACAAAAATCAAAGCCAAACTAAATGTATACTTCCGTTCTCTCTCTCTCTCTCTCTCTCTCTCTCTCTCTCTCTCTCTTTTTCTATTCCTTCCTCTTTTAGGCAATTTGAATTGAGCTGTTTCAGCTTTTTTGTATAATTATGAAGGAAAGGCTACTCTTCGTAAAAATGCCTAGAATTTTGGAAAGACGGGAACATTGATCATTAAAAAAAAAAAAAAGAACCTTGCAGCCCTAGTGAGAGTTTAATGAAATTCAGTTTTCTTTCATAAATAATGCAGTAGTTGGCACTTGATTAGGTGAAGCAAGGAGGGCTTGGTGGTTAATGAGATGCATAGCGGGAGAGATATTGCTTGCAGATGGTTGCCATTTCCAGTGACATGTGTGTTTGTGTGTGTGTGTTTGCATGTGTGTTTGTGTTTGGGCCTATGCATGGGCTTCGTAAGAGAGACTCCAAACTGGAAGGCTGTGTTTTATTAAAAATCCAAAACAAAAATAACCCCCATAAGATTAAATGCAAACAGATTTCTTAAAATCTCTGTTTAAACGCTAGTATTGTTTACTGGAACAAAGACTGAACTCTGCACTTGGATTGGATTTCAACATTCATAAGTAAAAAAGGTGAAGAATGCTCAGCACGTCCCCCTGGGAAGCTGCAGTCAAAGGAGAAGTGGGGCAGGATGGGGAGTAGAACCATATCTTTTCCTCTTGGCTCCTTTCCCCCTTGGGTTTGAGATGCTTTCCCACATAGATTTGGGGGTACAGACCAAGCAAAGGGGGCTGGGCATTTGCCTCTTCTGCTGCCCCGGTACAGAATTCTCCCTGCCTCACTTCCAGAGGAAGGTAGCATTCTGTGGGTGTATATTTTTAACCCAGAGGCCATGGGTCAACCCCACGGATTGTTGAAAGCCTTCGAATAGAGGCCTATTGCTGCTTCCTAGGGGTCCAAGTCCCTTCATGAAGAAATGAAAGAATTAAACCTTGCCATAGCAAAGTCTTCAGGTTTTATAAGAAGGAATGAACATGAAATGGTTTGGATTTTTTAATATTCAGTAAGATAATCTGATCTCTCTTTCTCTCTCTCTCTCTCTGCCTCTGTGTATTTCTTTCTTTCTTTCTTTCTTTCTTTCTTTCTTTCTTTCTTTCTTTCTTTCTCCTTTTCCTTCCTTCCTTCCTGTCTCTTTCTGTCTCTTTCTTTTCTTTCTTCCTTTTTCTTTATTTCTTTCTCCTTCTTTCCCTTCCTTGCTTCCTTTCTTTCTTCCTTTTGTTCTTTCTTTCTCTCATTCTTTTTCATTCTGGCTCTTTCTGTGTATTTCTTTCTTTTCTTTTTTCTTTCTCCTTCTTTCCCTTCCTTCCTTCCTTCCTTCCTTCCTTTCTTTCTGGCTCTTTCTGTGTATTTCTTTTCTTTTTTCTTTCTTTCTCCTTTCTCTCCCTCCCTCCCTCCCTCCCTCCCTTCCTTCCTTCCTTCCTTTCTTTCTGTCTCTTTCTGTGTATTTCTTTCTTTCTTTCTCCTTCTTTCTCCTTCTTTCTCCTTCCTTCTGTTCTTTCTTTCTTTTGTTCTTTCTCTCTCTCTCTCAACAGGTTATATCCACGTCATGCAAGTGCCCTGAACAACCTTGGGACGTTGACCAAAGACATGGTGCAAGCAAAGGAATACTACAGTAAAGCTCTCCAGCTGAACCCACAGCACAATAGAGTCCTCTTCAATCTTGGAAATCTTCTCAAGTAGGTTTCTGGGCTCCTTCAAGCATTATACAGTGAGAGTTGAGATATAGCTACAATATTTATAATTTTGCTGCTTTCAAGGAAGTCTGGTAAAATCCTGCGTAGACAAGTCTCTGCAGTTTCTCTGGCAAGATTCCAGAAGTGGTTTGCCCTTGCCTTCTTCCCAGGACTGAAAGAGACCCCAAGTCTCCCAGCTGGCTACATGCCTAAGGTGGGACTGGAAGTCATAGTCTCCTGGTTTGTATCCAGGTGCCTTTACCTAGTATATAAAACTAGCATGTGTATGTTTGTATGTGCATGTGTTCATGTACAGTACCAGAGGTGGGTTCCTACTGGTAACTCGGCCTGCCACGCCCCTGAACTGGTTCTACCGCCGGCGACACCATCTTGATTTTCGGTTCTGCCCATGCGCAGAAATTGCAAACATTTATTTTTTTCCCCTTTTCTAACCCACCCCTGTACAATACATATAATTAGTGATGGCTGCTGCCGGTTCGGACTGGTTCAGGCAAACCAGTAGTTCTGTCTATCAACTGGCCCTGCCCCCCCACCCTATCCTGTCCTATATTTCCTTCTTTCTGGCTCAGCTGATTCACGCGGCACAGCTGATTTCCGCGCCTCCACTATTCTACTTACCAGGGCTGCCTTAGAAGGTAAGCAGCTGAGCTTTGGATTGCTGTATTTTGAATGCTGCATGCAAGCAAATTAGGCATCCGATCACCGAAGCGCGTGATCACCAAACCAGTTGTTCAATTGGTTGCAGCCCACCACTGCATATAATCCATCACATTGGTCCAATTCTGAAAATTTTTCAACTTTCCAGTGTATAGTAGAGAAGGACTGACCAAAATCACCCAACCAGTTTTCAAGGGTACGGAAATACCAGAACCCTCACCCAGCATTTAATCTCATTGCTACAGTAGCTCTGAGAGAGAGTGTGTGTGTGAAAGGGAAAGAGAGAATTAATCCAACAGAGATCTAACTGACAACTGTTTAGCTTTTGTGATGCAGAAACTAAGTCCTTCCTTGGTCCCTTCCATTGTTTCAGAGTGCCTTGCTTGGTTTTTTTGACTTAGTGTTATGTGTATGGCTTAGCGTGAAAACAACCACGTAGATATTTGAGGCTTTGCAGTAAAGTATTTTCCATTGTGATGGGTATGAACAAAAGCTCATTATTTGATTGAACACAAATCAACCTACCTTATGGATTATGAGACTTAACAAGAAACCATTGTTAGGATTAACAATGTCAATCTCAGTCTAAGGTTTAGCTGTCATGTTTAACTGTAGCTGATCAAGAATTAGAGTGAAAGTGAAATCTCCTTGTTGCCATGCCAAGAAGCATGAGAAACAGAATGGAAGGCAGGCTAAAGTTTGTTTCAGTTAGGATAAACTGTAGCTTGAGCTTTCTTGTAATATCAAAACTGAGCTAATGTTAGAATTAACTACAGAAGTAAGAGAAAAATTATGGAAGTGTGTAATTATAATGGTTCTCAGATACAGTAAAGCATTTTATTATGTTTTAATTTTCTATCCTATCTATCTCTCTATCTCTGTCTTTCTAAATTTGTCTGTCTGTCTGTCCGTCCATTCATCCATCCATCATCTACCTACCTACCTACCTACCTACCTACCTACCTACCTATCATCCACATACCTACATACCTACCTACCTATATATTATCTATATCTATCTATCTATCTATCTATCTATCTATCTATCTATCTATCTATCTATCTATCTATCTATCTATCTATC